AGGTTAGAAAAGAGGTTATATCTAACCTTCTACCCTAAAATATATTTTTGGTGTAAATTTCATGAAAATTCAAGAGGGTAGAAAAGAGGTTAGAAAAGAGGTTATATCTAACCTTCTACCCTAAAATATATTTTTGTCTGATTTTACGAAGAAGTCTTGACAAAGTCTTTACGAAGAAGTCTCAACAAAGTCTTTACGAAGAAGTCTTAACAAAGTCTTTACGAAGAAATCTTGACAAAGTCTTTACGATGAAATCTTGACAAAACATTTACGAAGAAGTCTTGACAAAACATTTACGAAGAAGTCTTGACAAATTCAAGAGGGTAGAAAGGAGGTTAGAAAAGAGGTTATATCTAACCTTCTACCCTAAAATATATTTTTGTCTGATTTACACTCATTGACGATGAAGAAGTCTCAACAAAACATTTACGAAGAAGAAGTCTTGACAAAACATTTACGAAGAAGAAGTCTTGACAAAACATGAAAACATATATAATTTGTGAAAAGTGAAACATTATATAATGTTTTCGACCAAGAAGACTAACAATTTTCCGAATAAAAACTTCATTTATACTAAACATCTTCAGGGCTAGAAGGCACGAAGTGCCTGGAAGCCCCACTACCTTTTTTTTTTTTTTTTTTTTTTTTTTTATATTCATTAAACCCTCTACTTCATTTTCATTATATTTTTCAACTTCTCTTAATTCCTTAATTTTTTCATCTATTTCATCTCTTATTTTTTCCAGTTTTTCAATTTCATTGTATTCATCATCATCTTTAATTCGTTCTTCATAATATTCAGGGAAAACATCAGGTTCTTTAGGTTTTTCTTCTTCAGATGTGGGATATAAGAAATTTATAACATCATCTTTATTCATTTTTCCATCATAATCTAAATCATTTAATAACTCGGCAAATTTTTGACAATTTCTTAAATAATATTTACTAACTTCATAACACATCTCATCTAATATATCCTTTATTTCCTCGTTTGTGAATCCTAATTTTTTAACGTTGTTAGTTTTGACGCTCATTTCATACGAATTAAAAATAAATTATTCAAAAATGTAAGACATGAATTTTTAAAGTTTATTTTTTATTCATGAAAATAATTATTTCTAATTTCTTTTACTCTCTCGTACATACTAGATTTAAAGAATTCAGAACTTTTACCATAATCTCCTAAATGTTTTCTTATCCCTAACGTGTGCCAGTTATTATATGAAACTGTATAAACTTTATCTTTATCTTTGCATCTTTCATCACTTCCAATATATTTATATCTCAGTTTTGATTTAGCATTTTCATATTCATTAGCGTTTAATAATTCACAGTCTTCCTTTTTAAATTGATGTTTAAGATATTCAGGATTTAATACTCTACGTTTATATGCTCCTAACTTAGTTCTAAAGGTTTTTCTACAAAATTTAGGAATTCCATCCTCTTTAATGTCATCAATGATTTCCATTTCATTATTTTCAATTTCTTCTTCTCGTTTATGAGGCCTTTGATTATGACTCCATTGATTCCATGAAATTAAATATTCTTTATCATTATATTTATACCTCATTAGCTTATTTTGGCTTTCATATTCATTTAATAATTCACAATCTTCATTTTTAAATTGAAGTTTAACCCATTCAGGATTTAAACAATGTTTAATTAATCGCGGAATATCTGACATCATCTATATATAGCTTCTTTTATAAAAGATGAAAAAATAAATTATTTTAAAATTAATGTTAATTTTTTAATGATTTATAAATAAATATATTTTAATGCATCGTCTATATATAGATGTAACAAAAAAAGTCACACAACCCATCCTATCCTACTACTATTGTGGAATTATTTTATGTTTGTTATTTTAATATTGATTTCGGACAAATGATTGGGAGATAATGGATTTTCATGATGTTTTAAGGTTGCACTTATTCTCTTATGGCATGGCCTTCAATTCTGGTGTTTAGAGTTAATTTTATATGGTTCATCGAGCTAGTTTTCAGAAATTTAAATTAAAGTCGGATGTGTGTAATTGCACCCTTAATAATAAGGTAGAAAATGTGATTTTTCTATTCTTTTCGATTGCTTTTTTAAGGTCTCCTCAATCTAGTATGAATAATTGCTTCCTGTCAATATTGAGAGTACATTTATCACAATTTTTCATTAACGATTAGATTATAATGGAAGTGATTGGGTATTATACTACCCAGATTTGCTTTACTTTTACCACTCCCCATGTAATTTCTGGGGAAAACGATAATTCATTTTTTTATGGATGAATAGATCGTTTTCCTAGAAAGGACCTCATATCTCTGGCTAAAAAGAGTGTCAGATCCTAAATAGATTATTGATCTAGTGTACAAATCCAATAAAAAGCCTATTTTTTTGGCTTTTTTGGTGCTCATTTTTTCGAAGATCTACATGAATATGGGGAAACCATCGGATTTTTTTGGTTAACCCACATCTTCATGTAGTCTGGACTATCTTTCCTCGAAGGACCTCTTTACGGGTGTAAAAACTCATAAAGTTCTCAAAAGATTCATTCTCGATCTCCATGCTGAAAGAATTTACAATAAAAAAGAGATCTACGCATCAAACTACAGCCATAAATGAACTGAACCCCTAAAGCTCAGCTCTTAGTTTATCAAAAACGTCGAAATCCTTCTCATTGCAATCAAAATTTCTCAATAACTCATAAGAAAAATCGAATTTTGATTAAGCCGATGTTATAGGTATCACAAATACTACAAACTTGAGCAATATCGAAATTGCCAGCAAAAGTTTGAAATTGCATTGCTCATATTTGTTTTGTAAACTAAAAATCTGCTTATATTATTCATTAATTTTTTATATATTATTCATATACTTTAATAAAAACAATACTATTTCACCTTAAAAATGAATTTCATAAGTCAATATTATTTTTTTGAAAATGTATCAATTTTCGATTAAAACAACATGAGAATAAAATTTACGCAAAATTATTTTAAAAAATGGTTTTAAAAATTTACAATTGATTAAGAATAAGATTGGAAGAAGTTTTGAAGTTTAATTTTAAGAAAAAAAATTCGGATATTATTCATGGATCTAAGTAATCTGATATTTGAGTATCGGCACTATGCATAAAACATATATTTATAGTTTTTTTGGAGTTTTATGATTTTAAATATATTCAAATTTGGCAATCCAATAGATTTTTAAAAAATAGGTAAATAAAAATAGATTACATATGCAGCAGATTTAGAACATGAAACAAATCTTATAGTGACCCAAAAAAAAATTCATGATCCAAAAAAGAAAAAAATTAGCTAAATGGGAATCAAACCTTAGCATAACGCATCATTATGTCAGATGTTTCCACTACACTACACCAGCAGTTCGAAAAATACCCTTGGTGGTTCTATTTAATAGCTACTCCCAACGATAGGCGGTGTCCCCAGCTTTCGAGAGGTGGTAAAAGTAAAGCAAATCTGGGTATAATAATTTCTTATAAAACTATTCTTATGACTAGTTGAATGCCTTTTTATTGGAAGAGTATTAATGGAAATAACTTATAATTTCCATTGAAACTGAGTTGACTCTAAATATTTAGATTGTATAAAAATTGTAAGATAAAACATTTTAAAACATGCTTAGTATTGAGCTATATTACATGTCCACAATGTTTCATTCAAATTAAGAAAGTAACATGGAGTTATAACTCAAAATAAATTCAATCGATTATTTATTTTGAAATAAAAAAAAATCCAGATAATAGAGATTTTAACTAAGATTTTAAAGAGATGTTTAGTGATGAAAGAAAAACACAAAGAAAAGAAATATATTCACTATGTTGAATGTTTTGTTTGATTTCATAAATAATAGGAATATCTGCATGACAAAGAGCAGTTGAAAAATGAGAAAGATTATGAGTAAATTCATTTGTGATTTTATTTATAAAGTTAACAACTCCATTTGTTTTTGGAGATTTGTTATCAATGTAACATCCATCTAATGTAATTGTACCATCAAAATAATAAGCACCTTGAGGATCATTATTTATAAAACTACTATTTTTGATAATAACGGGAGTAGAATCCGATCCGACAACCCCACCCATCTTGTTATTTAAAAAATTACAATTTAGAATCTCAAAAGTTTTTTGAGAATTTTTATGAGAGATTTTATTAGTAGAATCTGTACCTGTTGAATTAGAATAAGTAGAAAATGAACAATTTGATTCTGATGAAAATGAATCAACTTCATAAAAATCTCTCCACTTTATTTTCGAAAATGAAATGTTGATTGATTTAATTTCAATTTGGCCGTTTATCAAATAAAGGTTTCTATATCCTTTGAAGCTTTCATCTCCAATTTTACTAATAGAGGAATCATAAATATAATTTTTGTAAGCATTAGTAACATCAATTTTACAGTAAACACCGAATGTACGATCTGAGTTTACTTTAGAAGCGAAACTGCAAACGCGATCTTGAACAAATTCGCCTTCTTGTTGATAGAAAATACAACCGCCTTCACCATTGTTACTACAGTTATTAAACGTTGTAGTATCAATGAGGAATTTGATTGTATTTTTTTGTGTGTTTAAGTAAACTGAACCTTGTGTGTTTACTTGAGTGAAAAAGCATGATGAAACATAATAACTGTTTTCATTTGCTGTAAGTTTACTACTATTTTTTGTATATTCTTTGAATTGTTCAGTTTCAGGATAAAATTCTGTCCAATCTTCGTGAATTTTTCTTCGTGATGCATTGAGAAGTTGATGTTTAAAGGAAATTGAATCATATTCATCTCCAAAAAGGATTTATGAAATAGCTTTTATCCCCTATAAAAAGGGATTTTTACTATTTCATAAATTTTGGATAAAAAAAGTGCTACTAAAAATTGTTTCTTTCTCAATAAAGCCAATGACACTAAATATCGTTGATATAATGATTAGATGTTATATTTTTTGATTGATTTTTCAATTTTACTTTATAAAAAAAATTAAAAACATTTTATTTCTTCTTTCCAAAGCTTCCCCAGCCAGGAGCAGATCCCTTAGGATGAGCAGCCTTCTTATCATCTTTTGGAGCTGGCTGTCTCTCTGTTTTCCTTGCTGATTGAGGATTTGTTGCCTGTGTCTTTTGTGGGAACCCAGTAGGTAGTTCTGTCTCAGCTTTTATGTGTGTTGAACGAACTACGCCTGATTCTTCGCTAACAAGCGATGACCAATCGTAATTATAGTCGTAAACGAATCCCTGTTGAATAAATAAGTTTCTGAACATTGCTCTGTACTCTGCATAATGCGGTTCTTCATCAAATTGTAGCTGACGAACCTTTTCAATGAAAATTCTGAATTCAGTTGGAATTCCTGAACATAATTGGATCAAAGACGTATTAGATTTAACTTCTGCTATCTTCTTGTACTTCTCGGCTTCATTATCGGCATGAAGGCCCATCCATGGTAATTCTCCTTTCAAAAAGTAAACAAAAACGTATCCAATCGCTTCTAAGTCATCTCTGCGTGATTGCTCGAATCCATTCGATGCATTGACGGAAGCATATCTCGCTGTGCCTATCATATCCTTTCCGCCAGTAAATGGTAAATGTTGATGAGATTTAGGGTCTCTGAACTTCTTTGATAAGCCGAAATCGATCATAAAGATTTGGTTTTTCGCATTTCCTCTTCCCATAAGGAAATTTTCGGGTTTAATATCACGATGAATAAAATTTTTGCTATGAATGTATTCAATGTTTGAAATGAGCTGCTCTGCGCACATTAATGTAGTTTTAAGAGAGAATTTATGCCCGCAAAGTTGATGGAGTTCATCTAACGATTTTCCGAGTAATTCCATGACTAAAATATTATAATTCGATTCTGTTCCATACCAAAAGAATTTGGGAATACAAACTCCCGTTGCAAGTATTAAATAAAGCTTGTATTCGTAGAATAATTGAGGTAATCTTGTTTTTGTAGGCTCTAATTTAATAGCTACTTCATCTCCTGTCTTTGTATCTTCACCTAAGAAGATTTCGCCAAAGCTTCCGCAGCCAATTCTCTTCTTGACGCGGAACTGATTACCTACAATTATTTCCATTGAAAACAACCAAATCACAAAAAGTGACGGATTTTCCAAGATTTTAGACAAAAACAGCATCTACAGCTATATTATCGATTATTAAAGAAGGAAGCCATTATTCTAAGCTTAGCCTACACCAAAGAATTGATTAATTGCTTCCAGAATTACAAATCTCCCAAATAATGATCAAAATTCATCAAACATTAGTCAATGTTATATGTAAACACATCTCGAAAAACTATCTATTTCAATATAATCAATGAAAGATTGTCCAATTTTACAAATTTGATATCGACCAAGACATAATTTAGAAATTGAAACACTAACGTTACATTATTTAAAATACTTTTTACTAAAATAACGCTTTACAAAAATAATTTAGCCTCTAAGCTCAGGATGTTGGTCGTACAATTCGACAAGTCTTGCTTCATATTTAGACTTAAGTTTTGAGAGCTGTGGCTTCTGAGAAGGAGTGAGGAGGCCATTTTCTATTGTAAACTCGACATCATCAAGGATAATTGCTGGTAATTTCTCAAATCCTCTGAGATTGCGTTCCTTAGCAAGTTCGTCAAGGTTCTTGAGCATTTCATCATTTGCGATCTTTGATTCCTTGAAATTATCTATACCTGCTTCCTTCCAAGCCTTAATTTGGTTTTCTGTTGGAACAATAACAGCAATTGGATGGTTGTGGTGGCCATCAGCATATATGTAGATTCCTGATACACCTTTTGTATTGGAATATGTATCAGTTAAAGATGTCAAAGAAATATATTCTCCTTGAGAGAGTTTAACTAATTGTTTGACTCTATCAATGATTTGTACTGTTCCATCACTTGTTATTATTCCAATATCTCCTGTTGCGAACCATCCATCTTGTAATGATTCTTTTGTTAAGGCTTCATCCTTATGATATCTGATGAAAATTGATGGACCACGAAAGAGAATTTCTCCTGATGGATTCTTTGCGTGTGGATCGTAATCCATTCCTTCAACTTTCCTCAATTTCATATCTGTTGAGATTGCGCAGGCACCAACAGTCATTGGATTCTTTGAATTGATCTGTTGGATGCAGCCAGCAGCAGAAATCTCTGTAAGTCCGTATCCTTGGATGATATTTGGAGTAATTGCAGCACGAAGGAAGTTGTAGACCTCTGGTAAAATTGGGGCTCCTCCAGATACAATAAGTCTGATCTTTCCGCCAAGAGCTTCACGGAATTTCGAGAAAATGAAGTTATCTATCAATAATGACGTTGGTTTGTCATTGAAAAGAGCATCTTCCTTAAGTTTTAGTGCTCCACGAATGAGAAGTCTCATTGGTGTTGGTAATTTGTTAATTTTTTGGTTCATTGTTTCAGCAATCTTATTAAAGACGCGAGGAACTACGAGCATCATTGTTGGTCTAAGTGCTTGAAGATCGTCCATGATGTTCCTTATGTTTCCTGTGTAGAAACCAATTCTGACGCCTTGTGCAAGGAAACAAGTCTGTGAAGCGAGTTCGTAGATGTGGGCGAGAGGAAGGAATGAAATGTATGTATCTGATTTAGTAATAGAGACATTTGAATCAGCAAGACCTGTTCCTCCTGCAATAATATTTCGATGTGTCAAAACACAGCCCTTAGGAGTACCCGTTGAGCCAGATGTATACATAATGATGGCAACATCGGTTGGAACAACTGGATATGGCTTGAAATCTGTTACTTTTTTACCATTTTCCAATATTTGGTCACATGTGTAAATATTTGAATGTTCAGCTGGTACTTCATTACCAATGACTATAATATTCTTCAATGGTGTGTTTGGTTCTTCTAAAATGTGAAGAGCTGATTCGAGTTTTGTTGTATGAGCAATAACTACTTTGCATTCAGCATGATTCACGATATATGATGCTGCACCTGCTCCCAACGAATCATACACTGGAACACAAACAGCTCCGAGCAAATGAGCTGCGTATTGACCAATTTGCCAATATAAGCAGTTATGGGAGTAAATACCAACTGAATCACCATATCCTACTCCTATTTGTTGTAATCCTGCAGCAAACTGCTTTACTCTTTCATAAAATTCTTTATAACTAATCCATTTATATTTTCCGTATTTTCCGTCAGCTAAAAGTTCTCTTTCGCCAAAGCAATCATGATCATTGTATTTGATACTTGATCCTTTAAGTAATTGTGGTGTTGTCAGAACATCTGGTTGGCTTCTGAATGTAGCAATATATGCTCCACCAACTTGAAGGATTCTGTTGTAATTAATATACACGGGGCCACAGTTTTCGTCTGTTTTTTCATCTGTTGGAACACAATATGTATGCGGATCAGTAGAAGGATAAGCGCCCATGATAAAATGTGATGTGAAATAGTTGATGACATAATTTCGCGTAATCTTAAATTAGATTATGTGTTTTGTTTTATTACTCAGCATGTACACATCGTTTTTACAGCAATTTTATTCCTGATTAATTTTTATTTCACTCACAAATTTGAGAGAACCGATTGGAACTATAAAAATCTTATTTTGAATTTTTTTGAAAGCAACACGGAAAGAAGGCTAACTTTCTGTTCATGAAATATACATAATAACAGTTTATTTATGGTAGTGCATCAGTTTTTGTTCAGAAATCATGATGATTCAAGATTCAATAAATTGGTTTTTAATGATAAGCACTCTAAGCTCAAAATTTTGGAGTTATTTTAGTAGGAATATTGATGACTTTCGTTGTAATAAATACAAATTGGTTATTAAAACCATGAAAATATTACAATAGATAATTTTGATGGAGTTGAATATGTATAGGTGTTATAAGCTCATGTTATAATTTTTAATTAGTGAAACGTGCCTGATAATGAGTATAATATCTCATTAGATCAAAAAATCGAGTCGTGTATCAAACAGAACAAGTTATTAAAGAAGTTTAGTTGTAACAATTCAATTACTAGTAGAAAAAAGTAACCATTCATGAAAATGATGGATGAATGTGTGTAATGAAAATAAAAGAGATTTTTATCAAACGGAAAAAACGCACATGAATCAAAAATGAGTTTTTAAGGAACGGTTACCCAATAACAGGTGGAAAGTCTTCAAAATGCTTTCGATACATTTGATGGCAGCTCAGATTACTGTTTAGAGCCAAATGAACTTGAATCTGCTTTAAGAGCTTTAGGTTTCAACCCTAAAAAGGCTTTACTTTGTTTATCATCATTCAAGAAATGTTGATGTAGAAAAAGAACTAATCGATTCCTTCAGAGTTTTTGATAAAGAATGTACTTCAAAGCTTCCAAAATCTAATATAAGATAAATTCTTAAGGGTGGCTTCCGACCAAATTGTCACCTTTTAGATCACGTTTTTTAAATCTATATAAAAAAAAAAAAAAAAAAGGTAGTGGGGCTTCCAGGGGCTGCGCCCCTTCTAGCCCTGATGATGTTTAGTAATAAATGAAGTTTTTTATTCGGAGGGCTTCCAGGCGCGTTGCGCCCTCTAGCCCTGAAGATGTTTAGTATAATTGAAGTTTTTATTCGGAAAATTGTTAGTCTTCTGGGTCGAAAACATTATATAATGTGTCGCTTTTCACAAATTATATATGTTTTCATGTTTTGTCACTTTTCTGTCACTTTTCGGGTAAAAACATTTTTATTATTATATATAAATGAATTTTACAAAACCACCGTTACCGTTCTTTGGAAATAAGAGTAGATGTAAAGATATTATATTGAGAGAACTTAAGAAACTACCGAATGGTCTAACATTTGTAGATTTGTTCGGTGGAAGTTTCTATATATCCCATTTATGTCATATAATATTCCCAGACTCAAAGATTATATGCAATGACTTCGACAACTATATGGACCGTCTCAAACATATTCCAGACACAAACAATATATTGAAAGAGTTAAAAGAAAAGATACCTATAGGTAAGATGGAACGTATACCATTAGATAAGAAAAATATTGTGAGAGAGGTTTTGAAAAAAGCAGAATATATAGACTGGGATAGTATATCTGCTAGACTATTATATAGTGGTGCTATAAGAGTTCATGACATTGAAACACTTATGTCAAAAGTTTTATATCTTAACTATACAAATGTTTTCAAAGAGGACATAGAAAAATATATTGAGGGTATAGAGTTTGTGAGATGTCATTGGACAGATTTGTATGAAAAATATAAAGACAAGGAAAATGTTTTCTTTATAGTGGACCCGCCGTTCTATAACACATGGGATTTTCAATACCAAGTAGACTGGACTTTGAGAGACTCTTTAGAAACTTTAGACGTTTTACATAACTGTCCATGCTTTTACTTTACATCCGATAAAAGTGGTTTGGAAACCGTTATGAGATGGTTAGAGGACATACATGACTATGAGTTTATATATGACAAGATAGAATATGAGAGAGGTCCTATAAACTGGAGAAAGTGTCACAATAAAGAAATTTTATTAGTAAGTAAATGTGGTTTGAAATAGGACTACTTGTTTTAGGTTTTTTCCATTGTGTCATTTATTTATTTGACGTGGCAGAAAAGTACAGAGAATATGAAGATGAACCAATGCCTGCAAATGTTCAGTATATGTACTCGTAAGAGATATTTTTATCTAATATTAAATGGACGCACAGAACTTAGCGAATGCACAGCAACCTGGACAACCAAACCCAGAGAATATTCCAAATGAAGTTAGAATACAAACTGCAATGGCAAACTATGGTCAAGTGCCAACAGATGTACAAATGCAAACTGCCATGTCAAATGACGCTGCGTTAGGTTTGCCACCATGGTATGCAAATATGAGATGGAAAGAGTTTTATACAAACCCTGAAGTGGGATATAAACAACTTTATGCAGATGACGCGAACACAGGAGTTGACCCAGAATATGTTTTCTACCAGAGGAGAAACAGAATGTATGAGCTCCAGTTAAAGAATGCTATGGAACTCAACAGGAAACGTAAGAGACTAGGCGGACATTAGATTTTTACACGTAGTAAATGGGTTTCTTTGGAAGAATAGGAAACTTCTTTCGAAATGTTGGAAGAGGTATATGGAATGGAATAAAATCTGTCGGAAAAGGAATTTGGAACGGAGTCAAAAATATTGGTAAAAGAGTAGGTCAGTTTGTTGGTATTATACCTAAAGACCCTGAACCAGAAGAACAAGCTCCTGTTATACAACAGCCTGAACCTGCACCACAGTCTAGTTGGCAACCACAACCGGTATATTAAAAAATTATATTTTTACCGTTCGATAGTAGTTGTATATGAAACTAAGTTCTAAGTAAAACGCATGGTATAATGGAATTATTCTTTTTCTTCCATCTGTAGTAAACCATACTTGAAAGTCTGAAATACTTCCACTCGGCGGTTCATATAACTTTGTAGGTTTTTCGTAAAAGTCATTTGCCAAGCATAAGAAAGAGTTTTGGGCGCCAGAAAATGAAGCATGAACAATAATAGCATCTGGGTCGAAAACATCTTTAAATAAATATGGTTCATCTCTTGCATATCGACTGTAAATATTTGCTAAAGGAAGTTCGACTTTCTGATTTAACATTCTTTGCAAATAATACCATGACATTGCAGTGAATTCTGTATATATTTGTTCGTCTTTATTTGGATTGTTTTCGTAGATTTGAAATGACACTTGTGAATTTTGTTTGTCATATACAATTCTCACATAAAGTGTGCTCTCGGTATTTGCATATTCATCAGCATATTTTGCATAACATGAATTTATTTTATCTTCTATATTTTTTAACGCAGTCTGTAGAGAAGATGAAAGGTCAACTTGTATTAGCTCAATTTCTTCCCACATTTTTCGTTTCCCTTCAGATATATAATCTATATGAAACTTTACAATAAATGGAAAACTTTTATCTTCTACAGACACAAACTTCATTCTACGAAAGCCAATAGCTTTTGTGACAGATGGGTCTCTTAGCCATCTTAATGGGTAGTCAAAACGATAGCCTTCATGCTTTACGGTCTCTGTCTCAAACTTTTGACCGACATTAGTAAAAAGTTCATCTAATGGTTTAGTTGTAGCAACTCTTGAATTTTCTTTTTCTATTGGAAGCATATTTTATCTATAATAAAAATGTCAAATGAAACAGCGTCTATGAGAGAAATACAACACAACCGACAACTCATTATGCAAGCTCTAAATAAGAACACAACAAACTTTTCAAACTATTCTAAGATATCTGAGTCATTGAAAGAAGGAAACTTAAAACTGACATTAAACCCAATGACAGATGAGTTTCTATTTCAAGACAATAAGAACCATACTGTCTGTATAAATCCAACAAAAGGAACTTTAAACGAGAAACCTATAAATGAACTTCTTTTGAAAGCAGATGTTGACAACAAAGCTAACAAAGAATATGTAGACGATGCAATAGCAAAAGAAGAAGAAAGAGCTAACAATGCTTATGCAACAAAAGAACATACTCATCCTGAACTAGCAGACAAAACATATGTTGACAATAAAATGTCAAGTGAAGTGACAAGAGCTGAAAACGAATATGCTAAAAAGACTCATATACATTATATTAACCAAATACCAAGTCTTAAGGAAACATTAGAGACAAAAGCAGATAAGACTCATACACATTCTATATCTGATATTACAAACTTACAAGAAACCTTAAACAGGAAAAGTGACGTTGGACATACACATACATCTTCTGAAATAACAGACTTAAACGTTAGCCTTGAAAATAAAGCAGATAAAACATATGTCAATGAAATATACCAAAGTTTGATAGGAACAAAAAATATTGAAACTATTGTTGGTGACTTTTCTGTCAATGAAGAAAATAAATATTTTAGATGGCAGTTGGTACAGTCCTTAGAAAATGGTACACGGTATAAACTCATTCCGAAAAATAACAATGAAATGTATGTAAGCTATATAAAGAATGATGGTACACAAGTTAAAGTTCATTAGACAACAACTGCTACTTAAACTTATATGGAGACGAACAAAAGAAATATTTAAGAGTTTATGAAATGGTGGATATGATATTACCTAACCCAGCTCCAGCACCAATATTATTATGACTATGGAGATGACGTCAGAACACCACATGTAGATGAAAAAGCTAACATTATATTTAGATTATTATAGATATAAAGATATAATGCAATAGAAAAAACGAGAATAGTATATTATTATACAGATGACAGAAATAAATATTATAGTCAAGATTTTACCTACCCCGAAAACATAAGATTATATTATAAAAAATATTCCGACATGAACCAGAAGAAACCTGAAATAGTTGCACTATATTTTAAGTTCAAAAGAGACAATCCTATATTATCTCATATGTTTGATTTAATGAACCCAGTAGGTTCTATTTATACGTCTATGGATGCGAGAGGTCCTCAAGTAATGTTTGGTGTTGGTGCATGGGAACAAATAGTCGACAGGTTTTTGTATTGTGCAAACTCTTCAAAGGAAACAGGTGGAAGTAAAACAATTTCAGGTGAAAATCTACCTGCACACAGTCACTACATAGATTTAAGTACATCTCAAGCAGGTTGGCATAAGCATAGATATTGGGATTGGACAGGAATGACAAAAGGTAAAGGATATGATGTTAAAGACAACGTTAAGTTTGCTATAAATTGTTACTGGAGTGACACTCAGGGAGAAGGAAACCATACACATTTCGTTTCAGGATATACACAAACAACGGGACAAAGTAAAGAATACATGCCACCTTACATGACAGTTTACGCATGGTATAGAATTGCTTAGTCGTCATTTTCAACTTCTTTAGCATATTCGTCAGGAGTTGTCTTATATTTGTTAGGAACTGTCTTTGAAAGTATACCACCTTGAACTTTGACAAGTTTGAAACGAGGTTGACAATAGTAGTTTTATCTTCTGCTTGCAGTGTGTACATTTTGCCATGTTTTGCCTAAAACTTCATAATATTCTCTTGTATACTTTCTTCTATTTTTACGAACACGAATGTGAGTACCTGTCGGGTTTCCCATTGTTGTCATAGTCAATAGTATTTTCATATGGGTCGCGTTTAGGTATTTCTATTTTTACTTTGTCACCCTTCCGAAGTTTGAAGCCCGGCATTCTTTCTTGTTTGTCTCTTTTGACTAAATTATTAAATATATAGTCTTTCTCTAAGTCAGGGTTGTTTTTTCATTTCTTCGGGGGAGTGGTTTCCCAAACCTTTTTGTTTACGGTTATTGTAAATATTTAAAACTTGTCTCATCTTTGCCATGGAGAAGTGTCTATACTTGTCGTCATATGACATTTCATTTGCTTCACCACTTGTGGTTTGGTTTAAGTCTCTTAACATTTTTATACAACCGTCAATGACACCAAGAGCAGAATGGTTTTGGTCGACAATGAAATATTGTTTACATTTTTTGAACGCAGATAGTTTTTAATATCATCTGATTTGAAAAGAACTTTCACAGTCAGATGTCAGTTTTGTTGGATGGTATTTGTCAACGAATATTGTCAAAGCAGTTTTCACATCTAAAATATTTTTGGACCATAATGGTATGGCTTCACAGTATCTTGTGTTTTGACCAACAAATATTAACCAGTATGGAGGTCCATCTTCTCTATACCTCGGAATGTTTTCCAAGATATCCATAAACCAAGCATTTGGTGTTGAACTAAAGATTTTTATCATGAGTGCTTTCTTTGTCGCTTTAGAAACATAGGGTCCTTGTTTGGATTCGTCATTTTTTACCCTATAAGAAATGGGTTTATTTGGCGCATTAGCAGGAGTTGCATCTAGATTTTTACCCGCAGTGGGAACAATAGCTAGAGGTGCATTTGGAATTGGAAGGAAGATTTTGAGTACATTAGGTATACTTAAAGAGAAAGCACAACCTATTATACAAACTGTACAGAAAGGTTGGGAGGTAGCACGAGATGCAACAAATCTTATTCCAAATCCTGAAACAAGAGGAAAAGTTCAAGGATGGATGGACAATGTAGGAAGACAAGCAGGAAACTATTATAACAAAGCAAATGACTACTATAACCAAGCAGGACACTATATGGACCAAGGTGAAAGATTCTTTAACAGAGGATATAACCATGCAAACAGTGGGTAAACAATAACCAACCGCAACCACCTCAAACTTGGGGAATGTAAAATTTTTTTACTGAGATGAAATGAACAATACAGCATTGAGACAAATGAGTTCAAGATGGATTTGTCGACTTCCAGCAGTTACACCACGTGTTTGTCAAGTTCTTCCTATACCTCAGGAAGTTTTAGACCGACTTAAAAAACCTAAACAACCAGTTGAAAACAAACCAAACTAAAATTTTTTACGGACCTGAAAATGACCGAAGAAGTTGAAACGGTAGATTTGACACCACAAACAAAAAGTTCAGAACCATTGTCAAAACCTGTCAAGAACTTACAGATGAAGAGAAAAATTCAATAATAGAAAGTGCCAGGTCTGGAAATACAAACCCTAACTTATAAAGTCACTTTTCATAGAAATGGAACGGCTAGTATCTCAAAAAAGAAACAGACTCTCACAAATAAAATATTGAAGTCTGAAGGAGCTTTCGAGACAACAGATGGAAAAGTTTACTTCACTGACCAACAGTTCATTATAGAACATCTCATTGACTTAGAGTCGAAATATTCTAAACTTTACAAAAACACAAAAAGTTGAAAGGAAAACAAAAACAAATGGCATATGATATTTATGAAGATGTTGACAACACAACTGTTCCTGCAAGTGAGGTAAAGTCAGAGGAAAGAAAAGTGACGAAAAACCGATAGAAGAAGAAAAACCAAAAAACTGAAGATAAACCAAAACCAAAGTTTAGTTTCCAAACTAAACCAAGTCAACCTTCATTAGCTGGTATGGGTTGCGTCAAAGACTTATGGCAGCAGGCGGTTATGTAAAGTAAAGAAAAAAATATTTTTTTATTTTTATAAAAAATGCCCCATATAGAATGGATAGAAAGTCTGCTAGAATAAAAGCAGAGTTGCAAGGATATGGTTGGAGAGTTTCGAAGAAGTTTAAATATAGGAAGGGAAGACCCATAAAAGTCTATGACAAATTGTCTGGTCTTCGCTACGAAATGGATTTGGAAACAGCACGTGCCAATTATCCAAACAGACTAGAGAGGTTAGAAGAAGAACGTCTTATGGACATGCCTTTCGATGTTAGTGAACCTCAAGTTGAAGGACACGACGGCTTTGCCAGATTTACTGGAAACATGACGACAATTGCATCCTTTGAAGAAGAAAAGGAAAAGGTGAAGACGCACATGCTCCCATGGAAAGAACAAGATATGCATATGAAAAGTATCGTGAAGTTAGAAGTCAAATTACATCTGGTCGAACCTTTACAGTAAACTTTGACGAAGGAAAGAACAAAGAAGGCTTCATGGGAGTACTTGCTGCCATACAAGACGGAAATAAGAAAGGACACAATCTCAAATTGACCATAACAGATTTGGATGGTCACATTTACTATGCACATGGCAATGAACAAACAGCCGCAAAACTTCTTGACGCTTTCAAGACTACAAAGAGAGAACAAATGGTTGACTCAGACTCAGACATTTTGAATGCAATTGAAGGAATTGCAAGTGTCAAGTTCGAATGGTACCAACCTAACCCTCAAGCAGTCAGACAACATGCTGGATACTTCCCCTTCATAAATAAGTCTGACATTGACTTGACAAGGTATGGAATTTACAATTCAATTGAAACAATTGTCAATGAACCTTGTATTCTTACATGTCTCAGGAACTCTGGTCTTGTTACAGATGAGAAGATGAAGTATCTTGAGTCATGTGTGAAGACAAGGTACATGCTCAGAGGTCAATTGGCAAAAATTGCACCGTTGGCAAATGTCAATATCCGAGTCAACATACCTACAGCTAAAGGTTCTTCACATGACGACTATGTTGTTGAGTTCAATTTACCATGGTTGAAGATTGTAATTGTCCACAACCACTTCATGTTGAACGAAAGTCTTACAAACCCATTGTTCGGAAAAGGCAAGTGCAACATTGTCAGAGCTGTAAACATTCTTTTCGAGAAAGGTTTGTTGGAACCAATTCCAGATGACAAGCTGACAGAAACTTTTGTACCAAAAGACGAAACAAACTTTTCACTGTTAGCAAGACCAAAAGTTGTTCCAGACAAAGTTCTAGTACAAAAGAAGTACACAATTCCACAAGGAGTTGGATTGTTCGGATACCAACCTGAACCAGAAGAACTTCCAATGAGGTTGCAAGAACTTCAAGATGCTATAAATAAACTTCCATTGAGACATCCAATTGACGTCAAATTGTATTGGAGAGCATCTGAGTTAGGTCAGAAGGTTTTATATGAAACAGGTTGCTTCGACGATGTTTATGAGATAACAGGAGAAGTTTCTCAGAAGATAAGAGACTCACTTGAATTTCCACAAACTGGACCAATTGGTTGCGACAAGTTCGACTCAAACGAAAAGATATACTATGTCGACCTTAACGCTGCGTACATGAGGTTTGTCCAATATATTCCGACTGGAATTCCAAACGAAGATGGTGAGTTCCCGGGAAGGAACTATACAGTTGGAAAGTCATACAACAACTATATGATATTAGGAAAGCTTCAAACCCCAAACTTGCAATGACACTCAAATTGCTTATGAATTCGACATGGGGATATTCCATTAAGAAACCTCAAGAGATGAAGAGTAAACATTATGAGAAGGTCGACAACTTTGTTGAAAGGTTTTCTCCTTTTGTTTTGAAGTACGAATTCACTCAAGGTCAAAGTGGTTAGTAACCACATTAAAACCTATTGTCGAACATTGGTCTTACCCTCAGTTCGCAAAGGCAGTCCTTGACAACTACAACAAATTCTTCTCCGAAGTCAAATCCAAAGTTGTGGTTTACTATGAGAACATTGACGCACTCATGACGAACGAAGAAGGATACAACAAACTCATTGAAATGGGTATGGTCGGTGAGAAGATGGGTCAATTCAAATTGGACAAAATTTTCACCGAAGTTCATGTCCTCTCCAAGCGTAAGTACTGGGCATACTTGAAGACGGCACAGAAATAAAAATTGCATGAAATAAAAAATTTTTATTCGAATTTGAATTAAAATGTGGGAATTCTTGGGAACGGGAAAGGCTTATTTACTTGAGGAACAGGTAAAGGTGGTGGAGGTGGAGGTGGTGGCAACCAGTCCATTTTATATTCCTTCCTAGGTAATTTCCGTTTAATTTCATGGTCGCCCTCGGAGTCTTTGAATCGGACAGGTCGAGTTACACCATTCTTGGTCTCAAACTCATATATAACCTGTTTGTCTGTATTTTCGTCGACTATGGCACGAGACACGAACATTGACCAAACGGACAAAAAGTGTCATTTCGGATGGTCACGCAGCCAATCGCATTCGAGCACTTCGAAGAAGCCTTACGTTCCAAGGGAGAGGGTGTCTGGTGCAAGGCAGAGGTCATGAGACTCTACGAGCAGTACATCCTCAATGCCTGGGGAGGACAAATCGTCCTTGATTGGCAATTCTACCAACTTCTCTGGGACGACCTCCTACGCAACTGGGATGACGAAAGAGTCCAATTCAAAGGTCGGGAACTAATTTTGCAAATTGACCTTAATTTCACATACTTATCCAAATAAACACCTAAATTTACTTGGGGTTTCCCCCTAAAATAAAATTTTTTTACTCTTAGAACCACTCGAGGTTCTCCTTACGGTTGTTGAGCTTGTCACCGTCAATGTGTCTGACCTTCGTCTTCTTGCCTGGATTTGGAACCCATTGAATTGCGACAAGCTTGCCCATGGAAATTGAACCGCGATTCCGAAGGTTAAGGTTCAAGTGTCCCAAGTTGTTGAGGACTGGGGTAAGAACCTTGCCTGTCTCCCTGTTGCGGATTTTGTATGGGTAGGGTTGGGAAATTTCGTAAGTGTCATCGGCAACAAGGGTTGCCCAAACTTCCTCTTCTTCGTGTTTCTCTTCTTCCTCTTCTTCCTCTTCTTCCTCGACAATTCCTTCTTCAATTTGGTACTCACGAAGTACGGTGTTGCATGTTCTGTCCTTTCCGAGTACCTTCCAGATGGCGTCTATCTCTTCGAAGAAACGGTAGATGAGTCTGGCAAGGTCTCGGTTCTCTCTCTCGTAATTGCGCAAGGTTTCCGCGAAATCGTTCAGGCATTTCTCATTGGAAGCTTGGTTCATGAGGACATCGGCTTTGAGATTGGTCATCTCTGTCATAAGACTACTTTGGAGAGTCTTAATGGTGTTTGTCAGATGAGCTTTCAATTGGGCAATTTGAATTTGAACTGGGCGCTTGTCTGGTAACCTTGAAAGGACATCTGCTATTGTGTTCGGCTTCGGTGCTTGTTCGGACATCGAAAAAATGAAGTGGTTTGAGAATGGCGGTTTTACTTCAAAAAGCTTGTTATGACAGTTATGTCATACAACAAGTTTAAAATAATATCTTGTTCTTCTTCTGAACGTTTGTTGTCTCTTCCGATAAAAGTTTGGAACATGAGAACCAAAAAACGTTTTTTAGGAACCGAAAGAGTTCAGGCAAATTTTCATATTCTGGATATGTTGGGAGCAGTTCGAAACATCTGAGCTGACTTTCGGACAAAATTGGGACAATGTCAGAAAATTCATCTTTGGTCGGACTGCTTGAAGGTAAGTCCCTTACATGTAAGTAGCTCTGGTAAAGTCTTCTCATTTCTGCTAACTTTTGGAGTATAGCTTCGTAGTTTAGAAGTTTTAATTTTAAATGTCTTATTCCACTCTTGACATCTAAACGGTAACTATCCATGAGGTCAAGAGTAGCTTTGGTAGCTTTAAGTGGAGCTATCTGTTCCTTGACTCCTGCAATTTTGGTTGCAATTGTGATTTGAGCTCCTTCAAGTTCGCCGTCTATGTCGTTCTCAACGTCTTCAAGCATGGCTTGAAACTCTTCATCGGTCCATTGAGATTGGTGTGGGACGAATTTAACTTGCTTCATTCAAAAAATGAAAAAAATGTTTTTACTCAAAGCGTGCCATGTATATGGCTATAAGAAACTTACCAGAAGGCTTCTTCTTCACATGAGTCTTTGGCAACTTGAGTGTTGGTGTTGGAGTTCTTGGGGGAGGTGGCTCTGAAATTTCAAATCTCTCTCGAGCGCAACAACAGATGTCAGAATAACATTCCCCACTGTCCTTCTTGCCACCATAAATTGTGTATTGACCGAACTTGCATTTGCAGGAAGACCGGTCAATACAAGGTTCACAGTTGAAATAGTTGTACACAAACCTGTTGAGTACGAGTGTGAGTAAAAACATAAAAAAAGTGAAGTTAAAACATAAAAAAAGTGAAGTTAAAATGAGATGTTTACTGAACTGGTTGGATGTCGCCTTCACAGGTTATGTAGAACGGCTGACCCGAGAAGTGAAGGAGACCCTTGAGAATTTGGCTCATTCTTGGGAAAGGGTTCTCTCTGTTTGGAAGTAGTATCCAAGGACGCTTGGCAAAGAACTTGAGAAGAGCTTCTTTCTTTGCTTGCTTTATGTCGTCGTAGGCTGTCCCGTCTGGTATTTGAATTGGAATTCCAGTCGAAGTCTCGAGATTCAAGGCAGCCCTTCCCGTTATCCAACAGTTAACAAGCTTGCCTTTTACATTCTGCCTGAGGAAGTCTTTAACAAGCTCGTTAATTTCAATTAGGTAAATTGCCTCGTCGGTAGGTTCGACCTCGACCATTGCTACTGTCAGTAAAAGTACTGCTACTGTCAGAAAAAGTACTGCTACTGTCAGTAAAAGTACTGCTACTGTCAGAAAAAGTACTGCTACTGTCAGTAAAAGTACTGCTACTGTCAGTAGCAGTACTGCTAGGAGCAGTAAAAAGGAAAATTTGAGAGGGTTTTCGACGATAAAGTACTGCTACTGTCAGTAAAAGTACTGCTACTGTCAGAAAAAGTACTGCTACTGTCAGTAAAAGTACTGCTACTGTCAGAAAAGTACTGCTACTGTCAGTAAAAGTACTGCTACTGTCAGTAGCAGTACTGCTAGTAGCAGAGATTTTTATCGTTGTGGTCCGACGGTTAAGCACAGACGAATGTCCGACGTCCCACCAACCGAGTCCATTCCCAAACCAGAGGAACCTAAAGCACCAGCCCCTGCACCTCAGTTCCAGCAAGTCCCTCCACCAAATTACTACCAATTTCCACCTCAAGGTTACTACCAATTTCCACTACAAGGCTTCCCGAACTACCCTCCTCAGCCTATGCCTTACTTCCCCAACCCTTGGATGTTCCAGCAAGCTCCACCCCAGCAATTCCAATCTCAATCCCAATCGAAGAGAGACCAAGACTTCGAAGAAGGCCTGAACCGCTTACGCAAAGAGTATGCTACAGCTCCTATGGAAGACGACAGGCTTTCAGTCTCTTCCCTAAGGTCGACCAATTCGACTCGTACCACAGATTCGGTTCGTGACCGTGAAGACTACCTCAAGCAGTCTGAGAGACTCTTCATCCTACAATCATTTACAACTGGAGCTCTCAAGAACATGCGCAATTACGAAGGTCAGACACCAGCTGGAGACCGCAAAACAGACGTACTCGCAAGAGCCGTCCAACTGGTCAAGACAAAGACTGAGATAGTCGACTTCATTCTTGCAGCTTGCCCATACAAGTAAAAAAATAAACAATTACGAGTTAAACTTTTTATTCTTTCTTTTCTGAGTTGTTTAGAGCTGGTTTCTCTTGTAGGAACCTTTCGTACTCTTCCATGGTCATGTAATTGCGAATTTGGTACGCAATTCCAGGTTCGTTGTTTTTGAACCTTACGTATGTAACGCTTCCATCCTCCTCAGGGAAGTAAGCTGCTAACATCTGACCAAGTTTTCTCGGTGACTCGGAGCTCATAAAAATGTCACTTTTTAAACGTTAAGTTTTTAGTCTTATTTTACCCTTTGTTTACCCTTTGTTTGTCAATGTAGTATTGGAGTGCAATTTCTCCAAATTCTCTGTGTCGGAGTTCTTCAGCATTTTCCAAGGTGTACTTGGAGAACTCAAAGAAGTTGTCAAGAAGATACTGCCATGCTGCTCTTCTGAGTTCGTCGGTATTTTGGAAGTGTTGCACCTTCGAGTCTTCGGACATGAAAAAATAACACTTTTTCTATTAAACCGTTTTGGCATTTCTCATGAGTGAGTATAGTTCTGCCGAACCATTGGAAGAGAAGAAGTACCCTTGCTGGCAAAAGACAAAAATAGTTGCCTTAGTTGTCATTGCAATTGTACTCGTAATTGAATTCATTGTACTTCTCTTCACGTACATAAAACTCAAGGACGGCATATGCTTTAAGAAGCTACCATCTTACTAAGACTAAACACTTAGATTTTTCAAGCTTGACTTTTTACAATTTGAATTTCCTCATATGCTTGCTTCCCTCGGAAAACCGAGGGAAGAGATTCCGTATGAAAACAGTGAAGAACAGCGAGTAGTTAAAAAACCCCAGTCGCCAAAACTCTATGAAAACAGTGAAGCACAGCGAGACCGACTTCTTTCGGGGTCGCCTTCAAACAAGTAGGGTAGATGAACTCTTTATTTTTACGCTTGACTTTTTACAATTTGAACTTTGTTTGCGTAGATATGAATTCTGAAAGAAGTATGAGGGTCTTGTATGACTTTGTACTTCTCCCATAGTTCATGTCTGTCAAACTTACCTGCCATGGACTCTTTCATAAGTTCCATGAAATCGTCTTCGGACAATCCGGGGAAAAGTATAATGTCAGTAAGTATTCTTTTAACATCCTTACTTAAACTCTTGGCTGTCTGTACACAAATGACAACTGAAATGTTAAAGTGTCTGAGCTTCTTAAGAATTCGACACATATCTTGTTCTCTGTTCTTTAACAAAGGATGAGAGGCGAAATCATCTAAGATAAGAAGACATCTATGAGGGTAAGTCTTCCAATCGTAAGATTGCAATTTCTTCGAAATGTATTCTATCTCTTTCTGTTTGTTTCTGAAGTGTTTCTTCTCTAATATTCTCTGCATTTCCTCATTTGGGTCTTTAAACTTAGAATTTATATACTCATTTATAGCATTATATTTCAAAACTCTTCTTTGGTACTTCTTTATCCAATCTAACAACTCAGTATCCTTTATACATACTAACTTAGACTTCTTTATAATATCTTTGAACGAATTGACGGTTTGGTCAAATTGACCAGAAGTACTACAAATAACAACTAACTCATAGAATGGGTTCTTCTCATCTAGTTCTTGTTGTTGTGCAGCCATTTTAAGATAAGTGAAAGTCTTACCCGACCCAGGTGGTGCAATTAGACCTGTTATACCATTCTGAGCAAATAAGAACTTGTCATGTATAGGTTTTATTGAGCATTTTCTAACTTCCTCTTGTTCTTGTTTAAAAACATTCTCAAATTTCTTGTCAATGTCAGCAAACTTTTTTTCTAACATATTTTTAGAAAAATTAAAATTTTATCTTTTAGAAAATGTCTAGTGATTTCGCTATCTATATTCGAGACAAGCTTTTTGACTCTAAAACTTCTGTCGACCATAAAATCTTACATAGTGTAAACAAGAAAGGTGAATTTGTTCTAAAGTTCTGTTTCTGGGAATATGACAAGAACCATAAAACATTAAGCAGAGCAGTCTTAAGTTTGTCATGACAGACTTGTTGACAGAGATGACGCCTCTTGGAGAGATGAAGTCCAACAAAACTTCTTAGAATGCAAGAAGACAACATGCGCTGTTCTTGAAGATGAAATAGAAAAACAGAATAGATGAGCTATTAAAGGACAAAGAACTTTACATAAATATAGTTGCGCCAAATTTGACATAACTCCACCAGAGAAGAAGAAGAGAGAAAAGAAAGAAAAGAAGAAAAGAAAGTAGAAGAAGAGAAGAAAGAACCAGAGCCAGTTTCAGAGAAGGGGAGATATGACATGTAAAAATAAAAATTTTATTTTTAGAACATTTCTGGGTCAATGTCAATGTTTCTCTTCCTCTTTAGGAGTAAACACTGGCTTAGACTCTAAAATCTTTTTTACCCAACTTACCTTGAACTTCAACTATCTTAGACTCATAATATTCATAGTCGTCTGCTTTCTTTGGTTCATAAGGTATAACAAGTTTGTATGCTTTACCTTCTTCGAGTTTTGAGAACTTTCTGTCAAAATTTTCTTTGACTGTCAACATACCGTCAATGTATAAGTCTTCAAAAGTTGCACCACTTTTTCTAACAA